CTTGGCTTAATTAAGTGAAACATCGACGTAAGTAAGCGTGTACCCTACTTGCATTTTGCTCATCACTGGTAGATCAAATACGATTAAATTAAGGAAATTATTTTAGCCGATTTTGGATAGGTTTAGTTTTTAAATTAGCATGGAGGAGAAACGTGCGTTAAAAGCACTACGAAAAGATAAAAACAACAAAAAGGAAAGTGAATTGTTAGAACCCTTACGTTGTTATACGATGCCTTAATCACAGCAATTTATTTAATTCTGTGCTCAGAGTTTAGGTACTGTTTTCTTCATGGCATCAACGATAAGTGTCCTGAGTCTAACATTATTCAAAGCATAAAGACCTTTGTTTTATAACATAATAATAAGTGATTTTCAGAACAAAATAATAGAGAATATGTCAGAAATAATGACCCTGTTATGTATTAGCTGTGTCTGAACATTTTTTTTTTCACAATATACGGGCACCTAATATTTCCATGGTCTACCAAAACACAAAGGAAAGAACATAAGTAATTGTTGGTTGTTTCGTGCGAGGTTCACGAAGGCAGCATTGAGATTTGGCGATTATCTTACGCAATATTATGTTGGGAAATGTCATGACTATCCTCATAATTTTATTATTCTGCTTTTTTATCTTATTCATACGGCACCGTTGTGGTAATCTATAGTTTTGCCCATGGTTTTATATGGTTGTGAAATTTGATCTTCATGGCTTTTGAGTCCAAGATTCGAATAAAAGAAGAACTTATTCGTATAATAAGTCAACCAAGAAAATGGACGTCAGTCTGACGTCATGACAAAGAGATTTATAAAAGAAAAAATACGTCAGGCTTGCAAGCATTAGTTTGTTTGTGCTTTTGAAGTAAAAATTAACTTCAAACTAACAAACTGATCTTTTGTAGAGCGGTCCTTACAGTAAACCGATTATTTGAAAATTTAAATTTCTTGACAATTTTTTATTCAGGTTGCAATTATGAAATCTTATGAAAATCCGTCCAGGATTGATCTGTTGTTGCACACGGACAGATGGACAGACATGCGGTTGGAACTATTTCAGTAGGTGCTCCACAGAATTGCAAACTCGCATGATATTAGCAAATATAAGAAGTTTTGAGAAAATTAAGTGAGTAACAGGTTTTTAATATTCAGCTGATATTAGGGTCGTTTATTCAAATGTTTCATTTACTTGTTTGACACTTTTTAATTGTTTTTGTCTTTATTTCTTGAACGACCTTTATGTTATTTGAGTACACTGAGCTCCCGAAACGTCGTTTTATATAAAAATATTTTAAGGAATTTACAATGGTGAACACTATGTGAGGTATAAAGTAATTTCTCCAGGTGAGAATACGTGTTATATTTTGTCACAGTGAGAGCTCAACTATTGAATGTTTAACTGTAGCCAACTTCAGAACTGTCTGGTGTCTGGCATGAAGCTGTGTACTTACAATTGTTTGTTTTGTACATTACTCATCACATACCAGTGTGACAATATGTGTACCGAACCGTTCAGCTGTGTTGTAGACTGCAGTAACACCGGCACAGGAAACAAACAGTTTTGCCAAGGTTCGTCGCATTTCCTGTCTTCTTTGTGTGGCTCCCTCTTGTGCTGAGTGTAACATTCTGATCTGTGCCACCCACTGAAAATGTTACCGCAGGTGTTATACCCTGAAGATCAAGTTACGACGATTTAAAACTGAGTTTATCGCTTTGTTATTACACCAGGAACATACTGAAACAATTTCTGATGTATTATTCGCTATAGTGTAACATAATACAAATTTAAGTGTTTTATGTCATGTGATCTAAATCAAGAACTCTTTAACAAGGTTAGTATGTGGTGAGAATCCAATATATAAAATCCTGTGCAGTTATTCATAATATTTTTGGAAATCTCCAAAGTTTGAACAGTGATCAGAAACAATGAACAGCACAACTGTCTTCTGGGTTGTTATGCAGTGTTATCTGGTATAATTTGGCCGACGTTTCGGAGGTACTTACTGTCTCTATCATCAGGGCGATGAGTGCGCATTTCTATAGAGTTAGTAAGAAAATTAAATTCTGCAACGTCGGTCAGTTTCTACAAGACTACACTGTGCTACAAATCAGAATACATTGTCACACTTGCCGCTGTGATAACTTTAAATTTCTTAAAAACAACTGAATTTTTAGCTGATTTGAGTCTTTGCTGAACGATCGAGTTTCGAAACAGACTGACTTCCCAACTTCTTCTTCTTCTTCTCTTAAACATCCTTTTAAGATTTCGGCTGTATTTGACGTTGTTTCTTCAATTGCAGTCTCTACATGACATTAAATGAAGTGTGAAGATTGTCATAAGTAAAATTAAAAAGGATTTGGAAGGTATAAGTCGTGGCCTATTTTACTGTATTCTACAGGCATCCGCTGACCTTGAAACCGGCTACCTCGTTATGTGAAATGTAGAGGATTATTGCTACATTAGCCTGATCATTTTTAGTGGCATTTCAAAGACCCGTTAGTTATCCCGTTATTTTACGGAGAGAAAATGCTATAGGCGTATATATAACGCATAAAAGGTTTTAAAACAAATCTTCCCCTTGAGGATTTTTACAGAGTCAGTGACGCTCGTCTGTCCGCCATTTTGTTTCTCATATTGAAATTCCAAAAATGTCATTTGTGATAAGTGTTCGACTGGCATTCAATCAGTTCTCTGCTTCCATGTGCAAATTAACTTGTATTGTGGGGAGATCCTCATTCGCCCAAACATCACTCCTGTTCAGAATATTGTTACCGGTCCAAGGGCAGCAGGAAAAATTCCTGGGGTATCCAGAACTACCCTCGCGCCTTTAAATTACGTGTAAATTTTTTATGGTCTCGCCCCTGGAGTCTCACCCCCACTTAGCCCTTGGTGGCCTCGCCCTTATCTTTAGGACAAGATAATAACACCTTGTCTGAAGTGATTTGTTATTAAAGGTTCCCCTACTCGTACTTTCGCACTGCCTAATCCAATTAAAGTCAGATTTATGATTTTCCGTGTCTAAACATCGCCGTGTAGATATACACAGAGATCGAAGTGGTAAAATATTCTGTAACTAGGCTGAAAATGGAGATGAGTGACCGAATATACTTTTGAGTCGATTTAACACCGGAAAAAGATTTCCGTACAAAAGAAGTGACTGTTTGTGAGAAGATCTCAGATAGATGATATTTGAGAGCAAACTACTGAGAGCGAGGAAGTAACAAGTAGACAGAGAAAATTACACAATGAGGAACATCATAGTATTGCACTGTTTACCAAATAATCTGGGTGATAAATGTAAGGGGAATGAGATGAGTGAGGCATGCAGCACAAATGTGAAGAATGAAAAATGCATAAATTAGTCGGATAACGTTAAAGGAAAAGTCTGTTTGTGGCGGTGGGAAACTTGACAACTTGGTAAGTAGTGGTAATCTGTATTTGTGGAATTTTCGCATAGAAACAGAAAGTTAAAGCCTATAATTACTGATTTATAATTTTGCTCTGGTCTCAGAGTGTAAGGTAAGAAATATGTGTCTCAAGAGTATGTTTTGCTGGAAGATTTTTCCCCCCTGAAGATGATAATTATGTACTTCCGGCGCCACGTAGACTCATACGTAGATGCCAGCGTCTCGGAGGAACATACCACCTCCATCTTAAAAACCCAACAGAACAACATGATCATCCCCACTGCCGTAAAAACCTCAGACCTAATTTTTTAAAAAATAAGTAGAGTGTGAGGAATTTGTCTTGCGCAGGAAAGAACCCTACAACGGGCTCTTATTAGCGCGCTAATGAACCTTCTGGTTTTACCAGCCAAGAACCTTTTTTCTTGGTACTGTGTCTATTCTCCCCCTAATAACTCAGTTCCGAATCCTTGCTGCGTTCTCAATTATACTCGTCCGTCATTATTTAATCACCGTAAAACATACGTAATGAGTGCAAGTTATGAAACAACTGATTATGTTTTATTTATTGGCCATTCTTTTTAATCCTTCTTTTACTTACGTACAAATATGTTCCTCTTCTTCGTGTTTCAAGATATTTTCAGTATTTTAGACGAAATAATAATAATGGCATATTGTTAGGATTACGTGTTATGAAACATTTGTTATGCAGTCGCGAGTAGGATTGTCTCACAGCTAATAATACCTTGGTGTAATCATTAGAGACAGCTGACTCCTCTGATTACGAACGGTGAGTGTACTTGATTAAGACAAATATTCTAGAAAAGAAACATAAAGAATTTCCCTTACATAACATATTCGAAAAACATGAGACGTGCAAAGTCACCTTGAAACTGGCTGGTGTAATAACTTGTGTTAGTACATGAGTGTTCTCTAAATTCCTATTGCGACATCAGAACTGTTATTTCTGTATATTATTCAATTGAAATGATGCGAGTCTAACCTTTAGCAGGATCTGTTTGTTTTATTTGCATGTAGAGATAGAGATTATGTTGTTCTTTTCTCGTGCTGAACCATGATTTACAACAGCCTGTGTTTGTGGAATGGATATAAAACTAATTCAACCCTTAAGTGTCCTTTGGTAACTATATGTATATTACCTTCTTTAACAATCCATAACTCTGTGGATTTTGACCACGGTTTATTTATGGGTTTCGTATTATTCTCACTGTAAGCAATGGTCATTTTCTTAAACAGTATTAAGCAGTTGATCTTTGTAATGTCTAAGGCAGATATTATTACATCTTGAGATACTTAATAAATTTCAATTTCATGATCATCTTCTCGTATAATTCTACGGTACAGGTGGTGTATGCATGTAACCCACGGCTTCTCCAGAATTCCCCACACGTCCTAGAAATCTGGTGCTTCGAAACAGGACAACTTTAAACTTTATTTTTCTTGTTATGTGTGATAATTGAAATCGAATTTCATCCTCACGTGTTCATTTTTTTTTCATAACTTGCTGTCATGTGAAGTGACAAACGAACTCAAAATATCTGTGTCTGAATTTGACAAATGCAACCCTTTGTTTGCAGCTAAAGATGTGCTGAAGGAACAGCCACGTCGGAGTGACGCGACGGTGGTAACACTTAGACGTAGCCAGAGTGAACGTCTGTTGACCACAGACAGCGACGACCCCAAGCGCCACGAGGACCAGCTTCAGGCTGACCGAACTTCCGTTCTGTTTAATGACACTATGCGGCTACGTCTGAGGCCGGGACGCCCTGATATTCGCCAGGTGTTCAGCGACCCAGGAGCTCCAGGCACGTACACCAGCAGCGGCTCAGGAGTAGACGCATCCAGACGGCCACAGCGCATGCTAAGCCCTGGAAGACCACGTCCCAAACAACCGCCACCACCCCCTCCACCTCCATCATCAACCCCTATTCCAGAAAACGAGCAATCCCTTCCAGAACTTCCACCGAGACAAATCTTTCCTTTCACCAAGAAACAAATAGAGCAGATGAATCAACAAGCTCGCCAGTTTTCGGTTAAGTCTAATTCAAAACAGAAAATAGTATCCTCATTTCCCAGAGTCAATGAGAAGATGTTTGATTCAGAAGCATCGGCGTCGTCAAATATTCGGCCGGTGTCTTGGTCACCACTCGCAACTTCGACACCCCCGTGCACTGGTGACACTGTCGAAGACGTAACGAAAAAAAAGGAGCATCGACACAGTGACCCCGGCCCAGTTATCCCAAAACTTGTGGTACACGTTGAAAATTCTCCGGAGGGTCAAACACCGGTAGCCAAAACATATGCTGAATCAAAAACCAAAACCTTCCATCTGCAAGAAGCAGCAAGGCAGCATCCGGAAGATCCTCCGGGTAACCTCACGTCAAGAATAGGAGATCTAAATGAAGATAAAATATGCACCATTGTCACCGTATCAACCCCAGGCACTCCGTCGGCAGATGTGCATCGTCTGCAAATAAAGGGAGAACACCTCGTCACAGACATGAACTCAGGACCAAAAAAGCGGACCTCCATTCGCATAAACAGCGATGATTCCACTGAAGACATCAAACGCCTTGGATTTATCCCCGTTGGGAACTCTTCTGTGACTTCTCTTGTGGTCCAAGAAGACGCTCTTACCACGTCTTCTGTTAAAAAGGACAGTAGCAATAAAGTTACTATCAGTGTTGGTGGTGCGGAAGTAAAGAACCGAAATACCGATAATAGAATTTTAAGTTCCTTGTGTACAGTTATTGACACTTCTCCTTGTTCGACGTTGAATTCAAATAACATTTATAAAGGAAGTAGTTGTAGTTCCTTGACAGTGCTTTCGTCAAACCAGGTTAACGTGATTCCAGTGTCTCCAGATCACCAGGTGCAAAGAACATTATTGGTAGTGGATGATCACGACAACGGCGAGAGAAGCAGAGACACGATGTTGCGATGTTGGAATGGTGATTCCCCTACTTCATCCAGCAGTGACAGTGACATCACAGTAACAGTTGGTGGGAGTGTTGAAGAGAATGTTCAGCACGTCCAGAAATCAGATTCTAATGTTATTTTGCAGCCCAGATCTCGAGGAATCGATTTCTCATCGACTTTGTCTGTTTCAGATGATATCGATATTCTTTTGAATCCAGTTGAGGCTGTCAAAAGGAATCTTGTTCCACATGTTTGTGGAAGGAAGATCTTGGCGCCCGGAGGTGAAAGTGTGGACAAGACATCTTCTCCGACGGTTAGACTCGATAAGTTAATAGAATTACAGGAAGATATAAACGATAATGAACGGGAAGCATTAAAAGAAGGAGATTATTTCATATCTGCTGCGGCATCCAAATTAATGGATCTGACTACAAATGAGGATAGCCCTTTGTATTCAAATGTATCAGCTACAGTTTCAAGGAGCTCGGAAGACACATTGCCAACAGTTATAGAACAGGAAGAAGAAGATGATGTATTCCAGACAGAGTCATTTTCATCAAATAAAGCACATGGACGCCTGAAACCTTTTGACGGTTTGGATACTGAAGAATGCAAGGCGGAAGATAAAAGTATCAGTGGTGAGTCCAGCGGGTTCGACACAGCTCCGTCGTCTATTGAACCAGAGAATGGAGGAGTTGCACTTCCAGAAGACGGCAGTGATTCAGTCTCTCATTCTCAATTATCTATTTGTCTTCCTGCCAAAGACTCTGATGATCCTGTAACGGAGAAAGATGATAAGAAAGTCGAAGTAGAGTTACGGGTCAAGACCGAATCCTGTGACGAATCAAATTCTGAAGCAGATGATGAGAATATTTATGAGATTATCAAAGATCCGATATACGAAGAGATACCTGACACACCTCCCCCTTTACCGATGTCACCCCCGCCGTCACTTGATGACCTTGAGGAAAGCAAGAGAGGTTCAAGGTCGATCTTCGAAGGGGCCTCAAAATACGATATTCTTAACTATCTAGTAGGCGCGAAAGAACGTGGGATAGTGCCTGAAGAAATGTATTACAGCGGAAGTGTTAATGGAGATGAGGTTGTTGGGATAATTGATGGGAAGCAGATACAAGACGAGGATGGCGGAGGGCAGTCTCACAAAAGGATGACGTCGTTGGATCTCGGTGATCTGAGCAGCAGGGTCAGCCACTTGAGCAACGCTAGCGATTCTAGTGAGGATAGCTGCAACCTCACAATTTCCAACATCGGGGATGTCCCTTCGTCTCCGAACAAGGTACCGTAACATTTGTAAAATTCATTTCTAACCTCGATTTCGCCATACGTGTTCATGGCACGGTGATTAAATGCAGGGGGAGGGGGGCATTAGCATATGCAAAGTCATTTTATGCCTTGCGTCGTGGAACTACTTTATCAACTGCGTAAAATATGAGGTTAAGTTTTCTCTCTTTTTTATACCAAAAATCTATTTGCCTCCTATATTTATTTATGTTTATTAAACTGCGCTATCACCAACTTAGACTACAGAGCGTCGGGCTGTGTTTTCTTAGAGGTAAGAACCGAATTTTAAATGTTAAAAAGCGCTTTGCGTTCAAAGGGTCGATAAAATATTTGATTGGAACGGTTGTGTTCAGGGTCTGAAAGAACGAAGTTAATACCGTAAATGGTATGCCAAGTTGAACCGCGTGAATTGCCAGTTTAGTGACTTTTTTTTGATAAGAATTTCGAAAACCACGAAGCCTTCAGAGACACGTCCCTGACGCCAGTCGTGCGATCACTTGTGACGGAATGTGGCCTGGAGGTCTAGAAACTTTCACATCTGTTTAATGGGCTACATTGGAATGTAATTAACGTTAAAATAGCGACGTGCCTTGAGAGACGGAGGTTGGATCAAAAGAGGTTGGCATTGTAGTGGGTTGTCTTTGCTGGTCTTCTGAGTTGCAACGGGCTGTGGATTTGTGGGTAGACACCCACGTTTCTAATGCCTCCAAATTCACTGCTTTACGTACCAGAATACCAATATCGACTTATTCACCTCCGCGAGAATCCCAAATGCCATTGTGGTTGATTGATCATACATTGCATTATGATATTGATTTCAATTTAGGTAGTGATTGAAATTAAATTATTTCTGAAAACGCCTTCAGAGGATAATAACTTACAATAAAAATATGCATTGAAAGGGAATCTGCTCTTTAGGGCCGTAACATCGATTTACAGTTTCCTAGACTCTTTTTAAATACCATGGTTTTAACGCGGATGCCATACATGGGTTCCGAGATCAGTAGCTAAGCTGTCTGTCCCCCTGTCCTGTAATCATGGTTGCATAAACTTTGCCAAATGTAACCTGTATTAAGCAGAAACTCTGAGTTACAATGAAATTCCTCTTGACTGCAGAGAAATTTAAAACTAATGTGAAATTAATTGAATAAAAATTTACTTGGATATTATCCATCGTCTAGTAATAAAACGTAAAAAACGTAAAACGACGTTTCGGAGATGGGGCTCTATCTCCGTCTTCAGGTTCCTACTCAGTTGGGCCCAATAGATAGAGCTAATCCCTATCTCCGGACAAATTAAAAAGTGAAAGTCCCAGAATAAAAAGGCATAACCACACCATCCATCCGTGGGACGTAAACGAATAGTATGTAGAAAACAAAATTCATAAACACGAATAAAGAAAGAAGACAAAAAACTCACAAAAGGTGGGAATAATTACACATGAATATTAACTTGAAACTCGATGCCCACCTTGGATTTTTTGAGAGATGACAGGTATCCAAATAGGAGATAAATCCAAACTAGGCTGGCTGATAGGATTGGCGAGTAGTGCCATGTGTGCAGCCTCCTTGTGAAATTATTTCAATGAATGAACTTTATTCAACGAGGAAACGGAAGTTAAAGCCAGTAGTTTGTGGAGAATTGTCTGCTTAAAAAAATCATTATTTTCGGTTCATTCTGAACTATTCGAATTCTTGTGTTTGTAGAAGATTTGTAGTAGATTTTAAATAAAATATATGTAATACTTTAAAGAACTGCTGAAATAAGGTAAAAAGTGAGATGGTACATTGAAAATGTTTACTGCTCAGTGGCAGACTTACTTTGTTCACTTAGGTACGTGAATACTCGAAGTAATATACAGCTCAGTGTTGAGGTCCCCTGCCAATGTGTTGCAATAATATAAGCTGTAGGTTGCATCCATTTTCTGGCCTTTGTACCTACCTTATGGGGCTGTGTCACGATGGTGTTACCGAATGGTACTCGCTTCTTGATATAACCGAAGGGTTGACTGGCGAAGGGAAATACCATAGGAACGTTGTGTACGTTTTAACGCAGCGCAAGGAATTTCCACTTCGGCTTCCATGTCTGCCACATGTTGAACCTAATATTTATTCCTCCGTCTCAATGTGTTTGCCAGATTTTAATTATTAGTTTGGAAACGTCTGAAAGTTAAGTAAAAACAGTCTTTCTGTGCACGCAAATGGTCGATCTATTTGGAGCGGTCGCATGTTTAAGAACCTGAGTCAGTTTTCACCTTGCCGCAGGACAAACTTTATTTTTACGTTTGTAATGTATTTTTATTTTCATTTGTTTTCGTGTTAAGATTTTAACCGAGATTTTTTTAAAGTAATTTGTATTTCCCACGTTTAGTTTCGCCTATAATTCCAAACTTAAAATAATATTATACAGTGTGTCCGTAAAGACCCTGTGAACCTGCAACCTGGAGAGAGTATGTTAACTGTGAGTCTACAAGGCGTTGAAACCGAGAACATCATCATCTTCGCAGGCGTGGGGAACCTCAGATCTCGCAAATACGAACATTTTTTAAGATTTTGCTATTCCGGGTCTTTCAAGACGAGTTTCTGTCAACAGAACCGTCAAGCATTCGACTGTGAGTAAACATTCTCATCTCAGTTCGTGTGGAAGTAGAAAGTGGTCAAAACAAATACACAAGAGTCTGCAGATGAACGCGAATATGCCAATTAACAGAGGAGGTAATACTGCCTACCCTTTCACTTTTTGTATCTCAAATTTCTCCTCAAGAGAATGCTGGAATTTTAATTAGTTTGCACTACAGATGAAACCTGTAAATGAATATAGTTAACGCGCTTCTCCGTACAATGTTCACAAAAATTATTTTTTTGCACATTTCTTGCTTAAATGAATACCTGTAACTTAAGCCGTATATAATTAATATTTTTTTGAAATATCAAATATCGTAGTGAACTCCCTTAGCTTTTAAATAATTTAAGTTCCGTCCTAATTATATCTGTAGCCTTCGTGTTGGTTTCAGCGTCATTAATATGTGTCAGTGATACGATCTTGTCTTACCAGGCCCGCAAGAGTTCTGCAGAAATCGAAAGAAATGACTCGGGAGTGGGTTCGGAAACGAGCAAATCCAGCCGCAGTAGATGGCTGCACTGTGGTCCAGCTGGCAGCATCCTGGAAGACCAACAGCATCTGTGCGAAGACTGCGACCAACCCGTCGAGACGCAGGTGCGTGACCCTCGGTTGGGGCGCGTCTCCCTCTCCAACATTCGACCTCTTTGGTCTGCTTATAAGCGACTCTTGCCTTAAATTCGGGGATCAAGATTGACGGAGCCAATGTTCCCACTTCACTCTGATTCTGCGTCTGCTTTTATTAATTCTCAGTCTCTGAAATCGGAAGACATCTTAGGCCTTGTGATCAAAGAACATCTTATACAGAACGAGGGCTTCATTGAAAAAGGGTCGTTAAAAATTGACGTGGGAATTTGTTCACAGTTTGTCAGTAAATCGGTTTTCCTTATTTATATTAGGCAGTCTTCTGCAGGTACTTTGCTCTGTTTCATGTGGAATTTGGAAATACAAAATTACTGTGCCAAAATTGCACCGAACCACATCTTTTTTTTTTTCGAGAAACACTGAATGTTTTCAATAAAATCTTCTTGACGTTTCGGAAATCAACTCTGTCCCGAAACGTCGGTTTTCTACGGTAACCAGTTGACGCGGCTGGTTGCCCGAGGAGATTTTATTGATTGTACTAACCACGAAAGTCTCAAATCCTATACCGAACGTTCTTTGTCAAATTCGAAACACGCTCGTAAAAAGATACATGTTTGTCAGGGCTGAGGATGGAGACGGTAGACCCATGTTTCTCCAAAAATGTTGATGTCCACGGCGTCACAACCCAGAAGAATAATAACATCGTCATTCTCGCCGTCTTGAGGCCCTAAAATTTCTGTTTGATCGTGATTTCTTCTTTTTGTTTCCCAGGTCACTGACAGCGGTGTGATGTTTGCACCCCTGGTGTGCCGGAAGTGCGGAAAGAAGCGAGCGGAACGGAAGGAAATAATCGCAGAGATCGTCGAGACTGAGGAAAAGTATGGCCGAGACCTGCAGATCATCATGGAGGAGTTTTACCGACCGATGCTCGTGGCTGGCTTGCTGACTCCCGAACAGCTGGCTGCCATATTCCTGAACGTGGAGGAACTCCTGGAACACAACGCCGCCCTGGCGGAGAAACTGCGAGACAACATGGAGATCGCGCTGGAGCAGGGAGACGAAGACTTGCTGACCGTCAACATCGGGAAACTGTTCCTGGAGGCATCTCCCATGCTTCATGCCTTCGAGTCTTACTGTATACGACAGGTGAGCAGTTTAGAAATGCATGATAATTGTCATTTTTAAAAGTATTTAATTCATTTGGTACTGTTACACATATTTGCCCATTATGAATCATATTAATTTTATTTACAGCCAGTTACATTAATAGGATGGTTTGAAAAGGCAGTTTGGTCTAGAACAGATGGGCAACGAACAGCGAATATCCCTGTGGGACTAGATGTTGGTTTCTACCAACTCTTCAGCGAAATAACTATGACTGTTTTCTGTCCTCTGGGGTTGTCGAAAAAACTAATTTAATTACCGAGAAGAGAGAATACATATTTTGTTTTTGTTGTTGTTGCGAAAACAGACGAATCCTGTTAGCATCCTTGCACCGTATATCTTTAAGATCCTTTTCAATATTTGTCTACCAAGTTTATTCGGGTTTCCGTACTAGGTACCCCACCCATCGCATTCTCAGAATATACATTCTGAAGCTTGACATTGAGATGTCTTCCCCGGCTGTCTGTGTCTTTCTCAGTACTCTGTTCCTCCCTTAGGATAACGCATCAAGTCTCACGCGCAGTTGAAGCAAAAAGTGAAGTTATAATTTGACGTTTATCACTGGCTATAAAAATGATAGCCAATAATTTTGACGTGTGTCTTTGACCTCACTGTATAGGTTCGTTGACCCTTACGTATCCATAACGTTGTCAGGAGTGGCGTTGTTTACGACTGTCTGCAGGATTAAAGACGCATCACTGTATAGTGTTCGTTTCACACTCATAAGTTTCTCATTGCTGACAGTAATGGATCTTGCGGTGTGTTTGGAAGTTGGTTTGCCAGACAAGACGCTTGTAATAACGCGTACATCGATGTTTCCGCCCTCGTAACTTTAAAGACATGAAGGTTAGACAGTTTAAACTCCGCCCCTTCTCACGGCACTCAGAAGCGAAAATTTTCATACTGTTTCAGAAATACTACACATGATTATGTTGTCACCTGACCTTTTTCTGTGTCTGCGCGACGTCACAACCCTGACTCGGAGGTAGATACCTACGAGTCTACGCGACGTCACAACCCTGACTCGGAGGTAGATACCTACGAGTGTACACGACGTCACAACCGAGATCATCGTAATTAACCAGTTTCGAAGCACAGAATTAAATAGGCAACATTTAAGTGCTATATTTTTATAGTAACTTATCACTTATATCTTCAGAGAATAAATTGGTAGGATATGGAAGAACTGGTTAATTCTCGCCGATAGCGACACGCACTAAACATGCATTGAAGAAGGTTCGGTTTTTAAACGATAAATCGATTCATAGGATACGATATATTCTTACGTTATCATTGTAAATCGAGAGCAATTTGCAATTTGCTGTGTAAACAGATAACGTAAATGCTCGTATAACTTGTTTGTGTGTGGTACAGGGTGCTGCATCTCTGCTCCTTGCGAATCTGGAGAAAGAAAAAGAACTGCTACGTATCTTCCTCAGGGTATCGCAGATGGAGAACGCCGTCCTGAGACGCATGAACCTCAACTCCTTCCTCATGGTAGGTCGGCTGAATTTCAGGTCTTGAGGCTAGTTTGGGTCGATGGGTGAG